GAGGTTAATGACAAGTAGCATAGAATAACACGATTTAGGAAGTTTCTTATTTGAATATTTATAGGATCGTTGACATATAAGCAATTCATTCGTATCCTTTTCTTGTATGTGTTACATTGACTCTAGTAGCTCTTAAGATTTCATTTTGATACAAATGCTCTTAATTTTCTGTTTTGTTCCAAGGCACTTTTTTACATATTAAGTGTAGATCACGGAATTTCTCAGATGAAGTTTGCTTTTCACATGCAGAAATTTCTTCTCTCTTATATAATACACATATTAGTGTAACATGAAATAACGAAAACATAACCTGTCAGTTACTTTAAAAATTATTTATTGCAATAAAGCATAATGCAGTAATATCAGTAATTTTTCTTTGTTCATTAAATAATTAAATTTAAAAAATTTCAATTTTTAAAGGCATGTTACAGTGAAGATTATTGTAGTTTATAGATAAAAAAATACCCATTCAACTACAGTAAAATAATCTTGATAGCAAAGATGTGCAATTAATATAACTATAATCTAGAGTTTGTAATTATAATAGAGAACAATTGCAGTTCTTAATAACTTATTCTTGAGAACAGAGGCGATGAGTCAACTTTTTCTGTGCAAGTTCTAATCTCATAAGATTTTACCATGAACTCTTAGAAATGCACCCCCGTTAAAATGTACCTTAATGATTAAAACAACGCAGTTAATTTACAAATTAAATTGTGTGTTTTTTTTCAATTCGTAAACAAAAAATCTTATACTGATTGATTTCCTGTTAAGTAGCTTTAATGTGATACATTTTAATGCTCCTTTCCATAATTTTTGTATCTTCACACAATTTTCTTTGCCTTAAAAACACACAAAAAACCCTAACAGGCAAACATTTATTACATTCAAGTGGACTTATTTTATTTTGGGATGGGAATTACATTTTACATCCATAAAACGTCTGTGCAAAAGAAACAAACAACAATGACACTTTTAACTGCAAATATTATAATAGTTCAGTTCGCAAGGCATGAAAAACAATTTGCATAATTTTCTTTTTTAAAAATACATTAAATACATTTTAATCTTAGTATTAAATGCATTTTAATCCAAGCAATAAATGCCTTAAATTTTTGCATTAAATGCCTTATAATTCTAAGATTATGGAAAAGTAAGACCTCTCTTTCATTATTTATCACTAGAAAGGTTGAAACTTATGTACATATATTATCCAAAAGCAGTCAAAGGACTGCATTGTGAAAGAATAATTAATGTGAAAAGAAATTTGTTTAAAATTAATTTGTAATAGTTTTTATATTATTTACAGCCATATAACAAGGATTGTTAGTAAATATTAACAATAAAAAAATTTGCTTCTCATGGAAAAAAGTATATTCTAAAAAATTCTAAGAAATTGTGTCATTATATGCATAATTGTTTTTCTAATTGAAGTTTAAAAGCTGTCAAAATGACTTCCTTGGGTAATCTAGTGTTAATAGTTTATCTCACACTCGCAATCGCTGGCTAAACTACTGTGTTTACAGTTCAGTGTTGATGTCAGGTTGTCTTATATTAAATATTTTGTTTTTTATTCAAAAATCTGTTAATTCTCTTCATATTTTAATGGAAAAAATTGTTTATTATTATTTTTTTAAAAAAAAAGTTATTGTGCTTCTCCCCTTTTTTTACAGATTGCCTTTTTCAAGTGTATTATTGAACTGTATACACAATAATTTTTAATTCTTTAGTTTGTTTGCTGTTTTATTATTTTTATTAACATACGAGCCATATTTGGGTAATCTGCACCAAATTCTCTCAAATTCCAGAAAAAAAAACAATTACTTAATTTAGAGGAAACACTGAGAAAATAAATTCCTTTTTTCAGTTATTTTACTTTACATACACTACATTCACAACAGAAATCGAAAAAAACTTTAAAGAAACCCTACATAAAAATAACGTTATGATATCATTAAAATATTTTTTGCAACAGCTAAAGACTGCCTAGATTTTTCGTACCATGCGTACTACTAACACATACATATCGTGCATTCATTATATAAAATATATTTTTACTTCTCAAGTTAAAAATAAACAAAACATTATTATTCAGTATAAAAAATTTTTAATGTTCCAAAAATAAGCAATATTATGTAGAATAAAAGTGCTAGATATAAATAAGTAGGAAAAAATATCACAAAATCGATTGTCGAGTTACAAGGTTAATAAAGTGCAATCAGAAGCAGAGCGTTTTTCTAGCGATTGTCATACTAAAGCGCTTTCAGGGAGATTGGAAAAGCTTCAAGAGTAATTCGTCACTTTATATTACCTTCTACCAATCTTATAAGCCAAACTATGATCATCTCCCGCAATTAAGAATATTGATATGAAACTTGTGTGCAGCCAACCGAGTATAATACTCAAAGATACAAGGTATCCCATATATTGTATGAGCTCTAATGATATTTCTGATGGTTGTGCTAACTTAGCAATCAAGTATATTGTATATGACACGCGAATCCACAAAAGTTTTCTTCCCTCAGTAACTTAATTTGAACGATCATTTAGGACACTAAGCTAATTTCAACTTTCTTTTCCTTTGATGTTTACTTTAATGAATGATATTTACCTAATTTTTGGGGACTGAAAAAAGTATTCATAGAAATTGCACTTTATTACCGTAATTTCTGAAGCATTTATATTGATATCATTATCATAGCATTATTAATATTTACCTAATTTGGTGGTACTTACAAAATATTCATATAAATTGCACTTTATTATAATTCTTTAAAATAGCTCTATTATTAACTCTATGAAAACTTACTCAAGTTAATATGTTTTATTATGAAACAATACGATATATTCGAACTTACAACGACATCATATCGATTGATCATCATTATCATTCCAATTTATATAAGTTATTCGGTAGGTATTTATTAATTTAATTGCCGTAATTTCTGAAGCATTTATATTTTGAACCTTAACCCTTAGGTCAAATCAATTCTTTTATTAATTCAAAATTCTAAAACTATCCTTACTGTAACTGTGAGAAAATTATTGCTTAACAAATCAGAATTCATTTATAGTAACAACAATGATTTTAAGCTATAACTTATCCGATAAATTTGAAACAGTTTATAGTAAGTAAAATTAAATAGAGCTAAAATAATACCTGGTATATTAAACAATTCCTGATGCGAAATGCACAGATGGGATGAGGGATTTGTTTCATCATAGATATAATAACTTCTAAAGAAAAAAATGTAGTCTTATGCATTTTTAAGAATCAGTTACAGAGCCGTTAACAATTTTCTAAAACTGATTTCTCTCGATAAGGCTTAAAACTGAACAGAAGTATAATTTATGTTGCATTAAATGGCTTAGATAAACTGTTGCGTCTCAAGTTTCTTAAATGTAAATGAAACAGATATTCATCATTTTAGAAAAATAGCTAATGCGTTTGAATTATTAAAAATAATTCAAGTCTAAGTTAGAGAATTCTATATCTTGATGAATTCTTGGAGATAATCCAGTAGCCATAAAAAGAATAAAGGGAATGCAAGAAAAGTCTAGACTCTTTTTGAGAGGAAGAAAAAGTATATATTTTTTCGTTCAGCATAGAATAAATAAAAATATATAAAGAAAAATTTGGTAGTCAACTTCTTTCGAGTTTTTTTTTTTTTTTTTGGCTAAAAATAATTACTTTGTAATTTTTATTATTTTAAATTGAACAACTCTAATTAATTACAAGGAAAAATAGCTTTTGAGGTTATGTACTTTACTTCTAAGATGCTACACAGAAATTTTGCTGCATCTTACGCAAACTAAGTCATACTGCTTAAAAAAGAAAAAAATCGCACTTGAAACAAAATGTACATGTAGCTTTTGTATAATCTGTTATTCTTTATAGTTTTAAACGGAAAAGTGTTAACATTTTAAAGGCTCATAATTCAATATTCAAACGAAAAGAAGAGTTATAACAAGAAACCAAATATATTGATCTTTGACTACATATATACATAATTTCAAGTTCTTTTTTTAATTTCACTTTTAAGTTCTTCTTTTCATAATTTAAATAACTTTTTGTTTTTTAAATAGAAAGATAGCATCATACTTTTCTGATATGGAAGTAGAAAAATATTTTCTGATACCTTCTTAATATATATTTGTCACAGAACTAGTAGAAAAAAATATTTTCTGTTGAAAGAAGCACCGAATTTAATTTAAGCGAATTAAATAGCAACATACATAAAATTAATTTAATCGGAGTGGCTATATTTCATTTATATTTTTTGACCAATTTTACTCTCCTCCCTTTTTTTTAATTAAGTCTTATTTTGCACATGTAATAATGTACGGAATTATATTTATCTCTGCATCTGCATTAAATTTTGTTATGTGATATTTTTAAATAATTTCATGACAATGAACGAATCCTTTAATTAGAATTGAATAATTTAACCAGGCATATAATAAGCATTTTCATTAGAAAAACACATATATTAAGAATTTTAACACTTACTTTTTTTCTTATCTACTACTCATAATGAACTGAACTCAGGGGAATTATTTGCATGAAAGAGAGAGATATCAAGAAATTAAAAATTAATTATTAAAGAACATGAAAAGAACAAGCGTAGAATTATTAATATTGTAAACAGTTCATTAGTTTAAAAGTTAAAAATTTGCTTAGCCTCTTTAATCATCTAAATCAGAAAACTCACTTTTTCAATTTCTACTATTAGTTCACCCTTATGTATATATATATATATATATATATATATATATATATATATATATATCTTGTTCAAATTTTCAATCGTTAATAAAATACTTTCTATTCATCCATCCAAGCTCAAATACATTTTTTTTAACTTGCAGTGGGGATGACACTTGATGTTAATACAGTTTCTTGAAATATTAACTCATTAATTAAATTAAAACATGAATAAATAGTAACAAACAAAAATAATAGTTCATCAGTATATATAGAAAAGAAACTCGTTCGTTGTTTCCCTGTAGCGTAATTGATAGCGCATTGGACTTCTAGTCCAAATGCCGTGGGTTCGAAGCCCTCCTGGGATGGCCTAATTTCTGTGACTGTGATCTATTTTTTGCTGTACTATTTTATTAGAATTATTAAATTTAATGAATAAATAGTAACAAACAAAAAAATTTCCGACACCATATATAGAAAGGAAAAGCAAGGAAAATTGCAAGGTAAATCGCTTTCTATTTTGTCACTTAATATTGTGATTCTGTCATATGCCTATGTTATATTAATTGCAACTATTTAATAACAAGTAACTAAAATAAATTTTTTTCTTTGTTAACCTAAGTAAGAACTGACTTAATAAATTTTTTTATATTACACTTTTGTTACTGATACGTAGAATAAGTGTATTTTCTAATACTTGTTACCTCTACATAGAACGATATAAATCTATAATTTTACTAATTAGTAGAAGGTATAAATGCTTTCCAATTTTTGAATTATAAGCAAATGTATCTTCCTTACTTAATTTGCTTTATATAAAAAATAAACCCAAGTGTTTTACTTTTTTTCTAAAATCTTATGTATAGATCAGAAAAATGATAGCATAAATGTATTTGCAACATTTGTTTCACATCTTTTTTTGAGATACACATTTCCCTAGAATTAACTTTTATATTTTAATGAAGGAAATATATGTAGCTAAAATGCGATTTTGTGCAAAAATAGTTTATTTATTATCACAGGGTCTCCACATAGCCTTACGATTTATTCCCCTAACTAACTAGAATAAACTATAAGCATACAAAAAGAAGATTTTTAAAAAAATTTGTTAGTTTTCAAATATTATAGTATAAAACACGGCTGAAATTAAAGAGCATGTAAAAAAGGAAGCTAAGTAATGCATTTTTATAATTATTTTAATGTATAGCAACTGGAGTATTTTTTGAAGCACTTAGTCTTAGTAAAAACTTTTTTTTTTAAATTTTAGCGCAATATTAAAAAATTACATCAATAACTAGTATCTTAAATTGCCTTCATATGATATTCAAAAATAGAACCCAAAGTGGAAAGACTTTCCATTAGAAAAATGCTTTTTATATAACATTGCTACCATATTCAGACATCACTATAATACCACACAAAGGGGCATATTTTATTGTACTTGCTATTTTTGTCTGAATCAATCCTTTTTTTTCTGTGTAAAATGCGCTCCACATTTCATTTTCTATATCATAATACAAAACGGGTTTTCACTTTAAATGGTGAAGTAAAAAAATTACGGACTTATGGAATGTTTTCAAATTTGAAAGACGCAGCACAATAAAAGAATGTATGAATTGCATCGTCTCGCCTTTATATGAAAATTCGAGCACTTTTATTCTGTCTGAAAATATGTTCTAGGCTTTCTGAGAGTCTGAAATGAATTTGTTCAGGCTCTTTGACGTTTGGTGAAGACAGCCTTAAAAATAGTTGGTGAACAGAACAAAAGATAATGTTATGCGCTTGGACGTTATGCAAATTCACGAAGAACTTTTAATATCTACAAGCTGAGTTTTATGAAAAATGACTTTCTCATATATCTTAAATACAAAAACCATTAAAATGTCCAATACCTCAAAATGAGATATTTTTGCTTAAAGTAATATATATAGATACATCCATATTGTTGTAAATAAATTTTATATCTTCGTGAGGTTCCCTGTGTTTTTGTTGTATCAGTATGATTTTATTCTATTAGATTGATTCTACTCCTATCAGCGAGACTATATCCAATTCCTAAAGTTCTTTTATTCAAATATGTTAGGAAAATAAATAAACTACAGTTTCTTATTTTATATCAGATATAATTTAAAACAGTTATAAAATGAGTTAAGATAGTTTACATTTAGGCCGTGGGCAAGAGAGACATTTGCAATTCTTTTTATTGTAAAAGACAAATATTTATGTGAACATGCGTCGAATCTAGGTTAGGATTTCATTATAAGTGCTCAAATATATTTAGTTTCAGTTTGCATTTATTTCCTCGCTTCTGTTTTGTAGATTATTTGTTTTCTCAAATAAAGCTCTACTTTTACTACATCTCTCAAACCGATAATTTATAAAAGAGTTTATTTAAATAAAAATGAATTTTTAACTCTCACAAGGGAAGGGCACGACTAAGGAAATTCATTTGGGGTCGAGACTTGGTGTAATAGTAATACTCCCTTAGGGTGTTCAACCCTCAATGTAATTCCGCCAAATGGCCAGTCAATTCAGTAAAAATAGTTTTCGAAATCCATGCTTAGCTTTTATACAATTAAGTTTTACTTACCTCTAGTGATGCAATGGCGCAGTTGATAGAACGCCGGTGAATAGGGCTCGAAACACGCCATTAACCTTTTTTTCAATTCATTCAATTATTTTTTAAAATTAATTAAATCTAATATATATTATAAATGCGAAAGTTTGTGAGGACCTTTGTGGGTCTTTCACGCAAAAACAACTGAATGGATTTTAATGAAACTTTACAGTAATATAGCTTATACATCAGAATAACACATAGGCTAAAATTTATAAAGATATTATGAGAAGTTTTCAAAATATAACGACAATTGTCAAGAAAGTAGGAAAAAATTCTGCTATTTGCAAAAAAGCCCGTGACAGCGATCATCTATCTTTTTTATCCCTTCTGTTCTGTCTACGCCGTACCTCAGTGCGCTTTCGCTTTTAATTTATTCCCTTCATCAGTGTCATCACTATTTTTATTTCATAATAAAACTAGATTTCGAAGGGAGAGTGGGTGGCAAGATTTTAACATAAAATAAATACAACAAAAAGTAATATTAATGTATTACACTTCCTGATATAAATTACTTACACTATTTTAAGCGTTCATTACACAAAATTTGTACCTATGACAGTGGAAGGAAAACTATGAAATTAAAATTAAATATCAAAATGTTTTTATCATTTAGTTTTTTTTTCTTTTTGAATGTTTTTTTTTTCAGTACATGTAAATGTATATCTACGCTTCCCCCATACTGTTTTTATAACTTATATATATATATATATATGTGTGTGTGTGTGTGTGTTTTAAAAGTAATTCTATAAATTCATTACTAAATTAATTATTTGTTAATTAAAAAAGTACATTGTCTATTATTTTGGATAAAAATACATTTCAGAGAAATTTTTAAGCTAACTAAAGCATCGTTTTCTTTTTATTGCTTCACATTAATAATTTTTTAACTAATGCAATATTGTTTTTTAAAAGTCATAGATCGAAATTTGAAGCTATATTTTATCCATGAGGGAGGGGAAAAAACCTGTCTTAAATTGAAAATATGTGGAACAAATTTCGAAAAAGGGAAATTTAATGAAATAATTTTAGAAATCACTCACATTGCGCTCGTACAAACACACACATAATTGCTGGCGTCATGAGGGAAAGAGAAAGCCCGTGCAAAGCCGGGCCATGCAGCTAGTAAATAAATAATTTCTTTCATTAAATTAATAAAAATATTTAATTAAATTATTAAAAGTTTATTACTTAATTTATTTCATTTTAATATTTAATAAACCTTTCATAAATAAATAAATTCTGTTTATTCATTTATTTATTTTTTTACTATCACACCAAGTCTCGACCCCAAATGAATTTCCTTAGTCGTTCCCTCCCCTTGCCAGGCTATCTCACGGAGTTTGATATTCCAATATTAGACACAATCCTTTCAGTTAATCCGAAAAACAACCAAACTCTAAAATTACATTAAAAATTCTTGAAATCTAAAATTGAATCATCCATCATCTCTTAATTTAATTTTATAAACTAACTTTGAGAAAATGAATCAGGACTCTTTGGAAGATTTAGTATTAATAAAACAAAATAAAATAAAATGAAACGAAACAATCAAAACTAATGCAAATATTTTCCATTTTCTCCTCATTGACCTAATCATATGAGAAGTTGTTCATTTAAGTACGTGAATTTGGAAAATGTTTTGTCAATGTAAGTCAAAAATTACCTTGCAAAAGAAAACTACAGAAAACAAAGTATTCCTTTTGTACATTTTATTTTTTATTTGTAGAAAAGATGTTACATTAACAACTATTAATTATAGTAAGTACACACAACTTTTTTTTGCATACGGTCTTTTTTTACACGATTTTGAAATTACACGGTTCACCAATATACTATTTTTCACAAATTTTTTTTTTTTTTGCTCCAGCACGAATCTTTCCAATTTTTTTTCTGGAGTTACGGGAAATACCCGAATTTTTTTTAATCCTTTTTTTCTTTATTTTTGAGTAACTCAGCATTTTGTTCTTCAGTATAACTGTATTTTGTGTTAAAATGCTCTCAGTTCATAGGATACAATAAATAATTTCAATAAAGTTCTAAAAAATTATTTTTAATTCGATGGTGAAATTTCCAATATAATTAGTGTTGATGATAATTCATCCTATTAAAAGACGTTAATAACGAACGAAATTCTTCATTTAAATCAAAGCCGACAGTTGTGCTAGGCATATTTGGCACATCTACTGATAATAGCATTTCTTATCCAGTTCATAATAAACGTGCACGCTTGTTATCAAGTAGCAATGAATAAGTGTTAGTTAGTAGTTTTATTCCTAGTTTCAGTTTGAATTTTTATATGTTGTACGTCTTTATAGGCTAAAAATTTTCTCTGTTTACTAATTTTATTTTATTTACGTATTTATTTGAAATAAAAATGGATTGTTTTTGCTTTATAAATGTGTAACAGGATTTCATTATATTACTTCTTTTGCACGAATTTTTGGGGAAATATTCAGAGTTTTTTCCTCTTACAGGATTTTTTCAAGTTGAGAAACAGATCCCCAACTTTACCATATGTCGCATCTATTTTTTTACAAGATTGTTTTTTGCACGGTTTTTTAAGGAACGCATCTATCGTGTAAAAAAAGAGTTGGGTGTATTTTAAATCAGTTTTCAATAGAAACATAAAAGACAAGCTAGACAGTTGTTAATGTAACAGTTTTTAAACAAGGCTGTGGCTATTCTCTTGCTACTGAAAACCCTCAATATAGAAGGGCTGAGGCACTTTAAATCTGTCGAGGTTCAAAG